GCAAAACAAAATCACAATGTAATTAAATTTCTTATATAAAGTAAAATTTCAGAAAAGTTTTTATGAAGATAAAGAGTAAGTATTGAAGGAATTTACAGTGATGGAAGGGGAGTGTAGACTATGGGGAGAAAAAGTAGAAAAGGACAGTTTTTGCAGGCTGGAAACAATAAGTATGTTATAGTCCTGCAATGTATCCCCCTTGGGGGAGGGGAAAAGTCTGAAATAGTTTTTTAATATGCTAAATAAGGGAGTAACATGACCAGTTCAATAGACTTTTTCTCCATTAATCTGGAATCACCCAATCTTGGATTCTGACTGCTTGGATGGTTGTGCCTAACTGTTCTGAGGCCTAACCTCTGGCCTAATGGTTAAGAATGTGGGTTCTGACATTCATCTGCTAAGGTTTGAATCTTGACATTGCCATTCCCTAGCTGTGGTATTGGGACAACCATGTAATGTCTATGCCTAGGTTTCCTTTTCTGTAAATAGGGATAGTCATAATTGTTATTAGGATAAAGTAAATGAAATAATGTATATAAAGTGCTTAGCTTAGCACCTTACACATACTAGAACCCTAATAAGTGCTAGCTGTTATCAGCATTATTAACCTGTCTCTTAACCCTACTCTCAAAGAACAGAGTGTTGAAGGGTGGGCTTCCCTGTTATATCAGCCTCAAATTAAAAAGTAGCCATAATATCCTAGTCTTCTATGATCATTATTTCAGAGTTGGTCATCAGTGAATTAAACTCTTGAATAAAATTACATTTTGGTCTCATTAGTGCAGCCCAAGACAGCTAGGATGAATATAATTAGAGCCACAATTAGACAGTGAAACAGGCCGACAGTTTCCAAATATTTAAGAGTACACAAACCTAAAATGCACAACCTGCTACAGAAACAAGCAGACAACCAAGCAACTTAAGCAGCCTTACAGAGCAGTCAGTCAACGTCTCTACAAAGCCTTTTTAGATGTCTGCCCACAGAAAGAATCCAAATTTAATTCCTAAGCTTTGCCAGATTTCAACCAAAAGCTGAAAAATGTGTAGACCTCATGTTGGAAATCAAGACATGAATCGAAATCTTGGCTTCTCCCTTTACTGGAGAAAAGAAGAAAGACAAGTTACTGTGCTCCTATTACATATATTCTAGACGACTCTTTTTATACATTATCTCACCTAATCTCTACGACAATACCAATAGGTAGGTCTTATTTCCATACTATGACAAATGAAGATGGATAAGTAAATTTCCTAAGGTCAGTCAACTAGTTAGTGACAGCTGTGAAGTTTGATCTTAGGTCTGACTATTGCTCAGCTAAGAGTTCACTTATCTCAGTGTGATCATAAATTACATAATGTATTTGCTTGTTTTTTAATTTGTAAAAAAAGGATGGATATACTGTACTGGGTTGTCATAAAGATTAAATGACGTGGAAATCTCTAGCTAGATGCTTCCACAATTCACCATTGTGGAATCTGAATACTGAGAGACAAGGCTAGCTTTGTAAAAAAAACTGTGAGGCAGTAGAAGTATGTCCTCTTGTTGACTACAGCTCTCATTTCTATCTAACCATTAGCTTTTGTGCTCCTTTTACTCTCTCTCAAACATAGCCCGTAATAATTATCTTTTCCTGAGAGCAGGAAATCTCTCAGGAGATGCTCTCAGGAAAACATAAACATTATGGGTAAAGATCCCTCGACTTGTCACCACTCCCAGGGAAAAATGGGTATTGTTGAAGGGCAAAAAGTCTTAAGCTCGATTTTTAAAATTTCTGGCTTATGGGAACTGATGGAGTAACATTGTAGAGACCAGGTAGAGCCTCCGTGTGCCTCCGAAATAATTATCAGCAATCAAAAAACTATTACAGACCCAGGCCTCACGCCTGTAATTCCAGCATTTTGCAAGGCCAAGGTGGGAGGATCGCTTGAAGGCAGGAGCTCGAGATCAGCCTGAGCGACATAGCGAGGACCCACCTCTAGTTAAAAAAGAAAATAAAAGAAAATAGCTCATAGCTATTTTTGAGACCTTGAGCTGCTGACTCGATTTCTGAAAACAGCTGCGGTCCCCAGTAAGGGAATAGCTGAAGACCCAAATAAGGTGCATGTCGACACTGGGTTCAAGGCAGGGTGTGCGGCATATATGACAATACGGATGTTCAGAAGTGACAACTTAAATCACCGCTTGTTGTTCTCCCCTTACATCATCCGGGGGTAAATGGATTAAAGCGACAGAAAGGGGAGTCAAAGCCCCAGCGGAGGGCTTAGGCTCTACTTGCAGATCCAAGGCGCATATTCTGTCCCCCTCCCCGTCGGTGAAAGCTCTTCACCCCTTTCACCTCCCTCTCCCTCTGGGTCTCTTAAACTCCCGCCAACCCTTCCCTCCCCTGCGTCTCGCCAGGGACCTCCTCACTCCTTAGTCCAGGGCTTCGCCGCCAGGATTTCTTGCTGCTGTTTCTTGTCGTATTTGTAGATTTCATCGATACTCTGAGCTTCCTGCATATTGTTGGCCAATTCCCAGGTTTTCTGAGCCATACCGCTCCCGGACGCCGCCATTGCAGAGAAAGCGGAGAAGTTGTCGTCTCTACAACCAAGACGCAACTTTACCTCGCTAGGTCTCCGGGTGTGGGCCTTGACCCTCCGCACCACGGGAACAAACTCTTACCTAGACTCTCGGGGCAGCCATGACACCTAGAACCGGAGGTGAACTTGGTAGAGACCATTCAGGAAAGACAGGGACCTTTCCGGGACATGACGATATAAGCAGCAGTTACAGTAATAGGGAGAGACGAATCTTCTTGTGACTTAAATTAGAACATCTTGTCTCGGAAAATTGTATGTGTGAAATAGAACAAACAAAATTATAGGGTATGGGAATGGTATAGTCTTCCATACCGGAAGAAGGGCATGTAACGTTATTCCAGAAACTGTTATTTGCCTTCTCTGCTTGTACTGCGCAGGCTCGGCCTCCGCCATATTAAAGGTAGTTGGAGCCTTAACGGTGAGATGTAGAGGGCAGAAAGTGTTTTTGTGTGGGTATAGGTACCTTAAATGAGATAAGTTTGTTGAAAGACTAAAGGGTAAGGCCGTCTGTTGTACAACTGAGCTAAAAGTCGTTCTGGAAGCTGGTTGAGAGGAAGATAAACATGGCATTCAGGTTTACTTCAAGATGACTCACTGCACATGCGTAAAAGCTAACGGGCTCGTGGTGGCTTGGCACTTAACTTGCAGATGGGCTTTTTCTATCGATGCCAGGAGGCAGTGGGTACTCCTTGATTGCTATTGTCATGCCTTTTTGGGTGTCGGTAAAAATTAACATCTACATATGCATAATGTGCCATTACTGATCTGAAAATGTCCAGTACTCCGTTCTTATAATAGGTTACAGTTAAATCTTTGGCACTGCTGTGAATTATGTGCCATTACTGTTCTGAAAATGTCCAGTACTCAGTTCTTATAATAGGTTACAGTTAAATCTTTGGTACTCCTGTGAACCGCATTTGTTCCCAAAGCGTAATTAATCTCGGCAGCTGGTTTGTTTTCTTCCTACAGTTAATACAATGTTTAATTATTTTTTAAATTAGTTTACGTGTTTTAGGTTTTCTTTTTTCTCCATCTCATTCCTCCATCCATGCAAGATTTTAAGTTTCAAGACACAGGGAGCAGGTCTGCGTTCCTTGTTTTATCTCCTAGCACCTAGCATAGGTGTTCAAGATTTTTTTTTTTTTCCTTTCCTGAAAAGATAGCATCACAGGCCAGGCGCGGTGGCTCACGCCTGTAATCCCAGCACTTTGGGCAGCCGAGGCGGGCGGATCACTTGAGATCGAGAGTTCGAGACCAGCCTGGCCAACATGGTGAAGTCTCTAAAAAAATACCAAAAAATTAGCCAGTCATGATGGTGTGCGCCTGTAGACCCAGCTACTCAGGAGGCTGAGGCAGGAGAATCGTTTGAACCCAGGAGGCGGAAGTTGCAGTGATCCTAGATCGCGCCACTCCAGCCTGTGAGACAGAGCCAGTCTCAAAAAAAAAAAAAAAAGAAAAGAAAAGAAAAAGAAAAAAGAAAAGATAGCACCACAGCTGTTAACAACCTGGCCCCTACACACCTCTTCCAGCTTCATCTCTCTTTAGTCCCCCCTGAAACTTTTCGTTCTAGCAATGCAAATATATTTCCTTTGGCTTTGCATATGTGGTCAGCATTGCTTGAAATGCTCTTTCCTACATTTTCTGCCTGGGAACTCATATTAATCTTTAAAAATGCAGTCCAGTGAGATCGACCACGAACTCTTTCTTGACACTCCAATGACCATTCCTTCCATGATGTCTCTTAAGTCTCTGTAGGTGCTTCTGTAACTGTTACAATGCGTTGTAATAGTCAGTTAAGACGAAAACATTGGAATTATCGAATCCACACCACAGCTTGCTGTTTTGGCACTTTCAGTTGAAGAAAATTTGCTTTAAAACCATCTTACAAAGAAATTTAGGGTAAAATAGTACATTAATACCTACCCTTAGTTCCACTCTCCTGGGAAACTAGAGGTCTCTTTTCTAGTAGTAGCATATGGCCATATGCTATTGTATTGGGGTGAACTGAATAACATGTTGAAAATGATAAGGAAAGCCCAGGACCCAACGTTGACGACACTCCTGGGCTAGGAGTAACGCCCTGAGAGGTATGCCAACATTTTTCCTCTCACTACCTCCCCATTTTTCTTTCCAGGCTCTGGCACTGTTCCCAAGCTGGCTGGTGCATGGGAGGTTGGAGAGGCTGAAGTAGATTTAGCCTGAGAAGTGGCCCCCACGGTTTAATAGCCCCTGGACACAGCGGGAGAACGGGTTGTCCAAGTCCCCTGCCAGGGTGCTGGCGAACCGAGAGAGCAGCGGGCAGCTATGCGGCCTCCGGGACAGCAGGGGGCGATGTCTTGCCGCGCGGCCGCCTGCAGTGGGGGCGGGGCCGCACCCGGCGGTGGGCGAAGGGCGGGCGGAGGCTGGGCCTGAGGGGCGGAGCCCAGGCCCCGAGGCTTTTCACGCTGTTCCCGCGCCAGGTGGCGGCTGCTAGCTTTTCGGTTCGCGACGATCCTGTAGAGCACTGTTCGTCTCCCGGTCTCAGGGAGCCCGCTCCCCTGAGTAAGAGTCAGCCAGCCGCGGATGGGGAGCGTGAGCTGCGGGGTGTCGTGCGGTGTGGTGTGGGTTGAGAGTGGAGAGTCCTGGGGCTGCATTCGCGGCCCCGGAGCGGGGGTAGGGGCAGGGGCTCCCTCGGGGCGTAGGTCTCGAGGCAGCTAGGCCGCCGACGTGCCAGAGTTACAGGCTTTGGAGTCTGGGGGTGGAAGAGGGGGGTGGTTTCTTGTAGGCAGGGGGCATCGTGGCGGTTGGGCGCGGTGGGGGAGGTGCCCGAGTTACGGGTGTGGAGAGTTGGGGTCTTGCGGCCGAGATGCAGGCACCATTGACTGAGTTATGAGGGTTGGGGGCGGGAGTTCCTGTGAGCAGGGGTCTTGCAGCTGCCGGGTTCGGGGAGGTGCCCGGATTCCTGGGCCACCGTGGTCGCTGCCGCCCGCGGTGGTGTTGTTAGCTGGTTGCCTGACGACGCACTGACGCTTCCTAGTCAGTCACCTCCAGGGCCTGAGGGCGAGCAGTGCCTTGGTTCCCACGCGCCTCCTCTACCCAACTGCGAGGCCTCCCCTGCTCGGTCAAGCCTCCCCAGGCGCCTATCTAGCCCCTCGGTGCTTGTTATTGTTAACGTGGGAGCGCTTGTGCGCACTGCTTTGCTAGTAAAACTTACTTAATCTTCACTGTAGCTCGGTATTGTTGTTACCGTATTTCCCCCCGTGATTGCCCGATTGCTTGAGCTTGAACCTCTTGTTTCTAACTGCCTTGATTTTAGGAATCTTACGTGGGACTTGAATCCAGTTGTCAGTACATGTTATTAATGGAGCTCATCTTTTGAGAGAGGCTGGCTCTCAAGATTGTAGGATTAAGACGCTTAACTAGGATTTCGGGGAAGACTAAATTCTGAAGTAAACCACCACCTGGTTTCCAAACACCATGGAAAATGCAGGGGCCTAAAAGCAACCAATAGGAATTTGTAAAATGCTAATTTAGGCCTTTTACAAGTTATTTAGGCTCTGTTCTGTGTGAAAGAATGACTTGTCATGTTAACAAGCTCCATGGAAGCTACTGAGGTATTTTCTGCGTATCATTCTTCTCCCTAGGAGGTCGCTAGCTTTCTGGTGATTAAATATCTACTGAAATGCTCCACAAGGATCAATTTTTTGTTTGTTTGTTTGTTTTGTTTTTGGAGACAGGGTCTCGCTCTGTTGTATAGGCTGGAGTGCAGTGCACCATCTGGACTCACTGCAACCGCCCCCTTCCAGGTTCAAGCAGTTCTCCTGCCTCAGCCTCCTGAGTAGCTGGAACTACAAGTGCATGCCACCACGCCCAGCTAATTTTTGTACTTTTAGTGAGAAGGAGTTTCACCTTGTTGGCCAGGCTAGTCTCGAACTTCTGACCTCAAGTCAGAAGCCTTTGCCTAGGCTTCCCAAAAATGCTGGGATTACGGCCCTGAGCCACATGCCAGGCCACGTTTGGGTCTTCTGCCAGATAGCCTTCTGGGAGGCAGTGGATGTGTTTAGACAGAGTAAATTGAAACAGGCCACTTTCGGTACAGTTTTTCTCAAATGAAGCTTTCAGACAAATATTATTTAACTGTTACACATTTGAGCAGATTTCAGATTATCCTTTTTTTTTTTTTTTTTTTGAGACGGAGTCTCGCTCTGTCGCCCAGGCTGGAGTGCAGTGGCCGAATCTCAGCTCACTGCAAGCTCCGCCTCCTGGGTTTACGCCATTCTCCTGCCTCAGCCTCCCGAGTAGCTGGGACTACAGGCATCCGCCACCTCGCCCGGCTCATTTTTCGTATTTTTAGTAGAGACGGGGTTTCACCGTGTTAGCCAGGATGGTCTCGATCTCCTGACCTCGTGATCCGCTCGTCTGGGCCTCCCAAAGTGCTGGGATTACAGGCTTGAGCCACCGCGCCCAGCCCCAGATTATCCTTTTAACATCATTCTGACTTAGGTTCTGATGTACTTTTCTGAGTGGTAGGCAAGGATGTTTGAGCAAGTGTTTCAGCAATTTGGCATAGCCCTAAGGCTAATTTATGTTATTGCCCTTTATCACCATTAAGGGTGTATTATTAGTAGCTGCTGAAAGACTTCAACATGGTTTTATATATTTATTCACTCTCTCTTTGTATCCTGTCTCCCAGCCTCCCTCTTTCCCCCAGCAACAGTATTTACATGTTAGCAATATTAGGGAAATTTGTCAAAATTTGGGTGTACCTGTGGGAGGAAGTTGCTCATGTGGATGCCATCTGCCAGGAGAAAGATGGAGGACCTTTCATTCGGTAGACAGATCTCTGGATGGATGAGAAGTGAGAAACATTGTCCTGGTCACTTTGTCCCTCCCTCTCTTCTAAAGCTCTTTCACTGGCCCCTCCCCCTACCCCACATGTTATCACACTTTGTCCCTCCCTCTCTTCTAAAGCTCTTTCACTGGCCCCTCCCCCTACCCCACATGTTATCACACTTTGACACCTAGGTCCTGTTCCCCTACTCTAGGGTCTCTTTTTCCAGACAAAACTTCTCCCACAGCCTTAATGATTATTTTATATACTGCTAGATCTTTATTTCCAGCCTGGGTTCTATTCTGAGTTCTAGACATTTTTAGATTGTTTTCTTCATATCTCCAGTGCATCCATTATGGATATCTCACATTTAGCTCCTAAACCCCTGTCAGCCGCTGTGGCAGGGGGCATTATCTTGTCCAAATTTGAGGACAAGAATCATGTTTATATATATACATATATATACATATATACGTATACATGTATACTTATATACACATATATACTTATATACACACATATATACATATATACATACACACATACATATATACATATATACACATTGGTTTTTTTTGTTTGTTTTTTGTTTTTTGAGACAGAGTATCACTCTGTCACCCATGCTGGAGTTCAGTGATGTGATCTTGGCTCACTGCAACCTCTGCTTCCCGTTTTCAAGCAATGGTTCAGCCTCCTGCTACGCCCAGCTAATTTTTTATATTTTTAGTAAAGATGAGGTTTTGTCATGTTGGCCGGCCTGGTCTCAAACTCTTGACCTCAAGCCATCTGCTTGTCTTGACCTCCCAAAGTGCTGGGATTACAGGCATGAGCCACCATGCCCCGGCCACATTTTATATTTTTGATCACGCCAGCCTCTAGCACAATGTCTTGCTTTAGGAGGGGAGTCATTTTCCGTTTCTCATGCTCCCATAGTGGGAAGGAAATTTGTACTCCAGTCCTTGAGAGGGAAAAGGATAGGAGCAACATTTTCCCATCTTTTTGTGACTGATGAATTTGGGAGAAGGAATTGGGCAAACTCAGTTCTTACTGGGTTCTGTTTATTGGATTTGACTAGACTTAGCAGAACGGGTATGCTCTGGTCTGCTTATATCTGTATGATAAGCATAACGAGCCAAAGGTTAAGATTTAGAGAAATTGGTATAGATTATGATAACCAAGTATCAATTATTGATGATTTAAATCTCAGCATACTTTATGTTTGCAGGCTCTGTTTTTTTGTTTGTTTGTTTTGTTTTGTGAGACAGAGTCTCGCTCTGTCCCCTAGGCTAGAGTGCAGTGGCACGATCTCGGCTCACTGCAAGCTCTGCCTCTCGGGTTCACTCCATTCTCCTGCCTCAGCCTCCTGAGTAGTTGGGACTACAGGTGTCTGCCACCAAGCCTGGCTAATTTTTTTGTATTTTTAGTAGAGATGGGGTTTCACCGTGTTAGCCGGGATGGTCTTGATCTCCTGACCTCATGATCCGACAGCCTCAGCCTCCCAAAGCGCTGGGATTACAGGTGTGAGCCACTGCGCCCGGCCACAGGCTCTGTTTTTAAGAGGTAAATCTTCATATATGCAAAGACTGTAAAGATACAACAATAAACAATAAAAGAATTGATCTTTTTTTTTTTTGACACTGAGTATTGCTCTGTCATCCAGGCTGTAGTACAGTGGCGTGATCTGGGCTCATTACGACCTCTGCTTCCTGGTTTCAAGCCATTCTCCTGCCTCAGCCTCCTGATTAGCTGGGACTACAGAGGTGTGCCACCATGCCTGGCTAATTTTTGTATTTTTAGTGGAGATGAGTTTTGCTGTGTTAACCAGACTGGTCTCAAACTCCTGACCTCGGGTGATCCATTGCCCTTGGCCTCCCAAAGTGCTGGGATCACAGGCATGGGCCACCACGCCTGGCCTGATCTGTTGATTTCCAAGTGTTAGGTTCTCTGTCATACTTTTTATATGCATTATTTTGCTTTTTCTTCATAATATACTAGAATAAATGATATTTCTGTTTTATAGATTAGGCATAGAGCAGTTAAGGAACATACTTGAGGTCATTCACGTTGAGATCAGTAAGTGATGGAAATATATTTCAAACCCAGTTCTTTCAATTAAACTGTTTTCCTGAGAACTGTTTATTATCTACATACTATGTACACAGCTACTGGGGAAATAATACTTGGCCATGATGTCTTGAAAAAAATTGTGAGTGACTTTATATTGTAGAGTGTCAGAGATATAAATAATCTCATTTAGGTTTCTTTCAGCTAATTTATTTTTGGCAACTTAATCCTTAAATTACAAACTTTCTTACTGTATATTGTACATATGCCATATTTATTAACCCTGTCTCTGTGATTCACCAAGTAATTCTTGAATAATTGTGTAGTTGAAATATGTTTTATGTAAGTTATCACATGCTTTTAGGAGTGAGAAAAAGAAAAATGGCCATGACATCTGACATCTAGAAACTAGTATTGCTAGAAACTAGCCTGGCATTCACAGTAACTTTGTGTTTTTCTGTTGAAGATAAACTGTTGTATAGAATGTCAACATCAGATAAGGCCACTCTGTGTCTATGATGGATGAAGACAAAAATATTCCATCATTGTGTCCAAACACAGACAAATGTTGTCCAAGACACAAGATACCAAACATTCCCTTTCCCAGCTGATGTGAATGTCTACTGCTTGTTTACCAGTTACAGCATTAGCCTCCCCCTATATTTTAGATTTATTGAGTGGTACCATCATAGAATTAACCCCACTTCCAACAGTGTTCAATCCTGAGCAAAACTCCACTTCCTTAAATGAAGCCTTCTCCCAAATCACCCAACACATATAAGTCTTTTCCAATACCCTCTTACCACAATACCACAGGGTTCCCCATGGTGTGTGTTCTCCGTGCATTCTTTAATGCAATGAGTAGTAAATCCAACTTAACTGTAGTAGTTTTCCTGGTGGTCTTTGACTGGAGATCATTACCAGGAGAAGACTCATTAGTTTCTTTGACTCTTTAATATTAAAGTCATTATAATCTAATTGGATTAGATATAGGACAAAATTAGAAGTGATTAGAAATGTACTTATATCTCGGATAAATCTTACGTTTTTGTTATGGCATATGCTATATTTACTATGGTTGTTTAAAAGTGTGTTTTATTATTGGTACTTTTTGTACTTTTGATTACTGTAAGTTAAAATCAGTTCTATAATTTATAATGTTAAATAATTACAGTAAAGATAAATATAAGCATCTAGGCCAGGCACGGTGGCTCAAGCCTGTAATCCCATCACTTTGGGAGGCTGAGATGGGCGGATCACGAGGTCAGGAGATCGAGACCTTCCTGGCTAACACAGTGAAACCCCGTCTCTACTAAAAATAATACAAAAAGCTAGCCGGGCGAGGTGGCGGGCGCCTGTAGTCCCAGCTACTCTCGGGAGGCTGTAGGCAGAGAATGGCGTGAACCCCGGGGAGGCCCGGAGACTTGCGGCAGTGAGCCCAGAAGCGGCCACTGCACTCTAACAACACAGGTGCCAGCGCCTGGGCGCGCAACGGAGCAAGACTCCGTCTCAAACACAAAAAAATATAACTATAC